GGAATAACGGGGCTTCTTTTCATTTAGTGGTTTTCAAAATGTTTTCTACAGTATAGATTATTTCTTGATGTGATGTTTCTATAATTTTTCTGAATGTTTATACATTGTAAATATTAATGATGGATGATGAAAGCAATGAACAAATAGAAAATGAAGTCAATTTTTTAAAATCTATCTACCCATGAATTGAAAACAATCTATCTTAGTTATTCACTGACACCTATGCTCATGCTCATGGCTTTGATTTGATATTATGATTTACAAGTGTATATGCAATTGCATCGTAAACAGAAACTCAAGTAGCTCAATATATGTTTTTGAGCTAAATCACACTCTGCGTGTTTAAAGTAAATACCTCTAATTTTCATAATGTTCACAGACAACACAGAACCAGCCACACACCGACAATAGAATGCTCTTGAGTACAGGGGCCCAAATACCAAGTCACAGTCACTGCCCCCATTCCTTTTTCTCTGCCTACCATCCTTTGTTTTAGATGACAAGTGTCATACACTGGATGCCATCCAATTGATATGCATTTCAGATTTACCTTATTTTCCTATGTTACTACATAAGAATTTTATGAAACGTTGCAGGTGATAATAGTTTCATGAGCTACTTACTTTCCTTCATGAATACCCTAAACTCTTCTCATGAATTAGTTCAGTTTTTACAACTTTGTTCAGCAGGTTCTATGATTAGTGCTATCTGCTACATAAAAAAGTCTGCACATGAAGAAAAACACTGTCTAAAGTCTTTCTGTTACCACATGCTCCATGATGTTGAGACTGAAGATAAAACACCCTTCATTTTGCTGTCATTGGAAAGAAAATATTATAGCTGAAACTTTTGTATTGATATAGTTTATTGTCTCCAAATTCACACTTGGAACTTTATATAAAATGATGACTATTACTTATTCAATTTGTGTATATAATAATTGCATGCATGTCTTTATAGAAGATATATAGTTATAACTAATCTACCTTATTGGTGAGATGATTTAGGTGCTGAGTGACTGACAGACAGAAAACTCATTTTATGAAAATAAAACTTCACAGAAAATACAAAAAGAATGAATGTTCTTATGTTTTCTGTTTATATGAACTTCCAATGGAAGAAATCATACTTTTAAATACTACCTGTCTTGTGGGATATCTTCAATAATTGAGCCCCATCTACTAACGTGACTTTTAGCAACTCTTCTAATAGTTACTCAGCAACAGTTATACACATGATATCACCAATCACACAGGAGAAAATGTCACTTCAGTGCTCAGCAATCCCACATACCTTTTGCTTCCAAGTAGGAAGGTCACGTTCATTCTTTCAACTGTGTGGGTTTTGTTTTGATACAATTGCACAATCAACACATAAAGGTTTGAACTCTCGCTGCCATTGGTCAGAGAGAAAATGTCATCTATAAAGATTTTCCAAAAACTGGCACTTTAAAGAGTGCTACTGGAAATAGGTTCTTAGGGCTGGAACTGCAGCCTCAGAAGCAAATACATTCTCTTTCACACTCTCCGATTAAAGACACTTTTGTGATCCATTTACGCAAAAGGATACAATTCTTTAGAAGTGTGTGCATCAGAGTCCCTGCGTGCAGGACTTGGGTGGGGAAACTCATAGTCCCTCACACCATTTCACTGTAGTTAAAGTGAGAACTCCTTCCTACACCAAACACATTTCCTGAAAAGTGTCTGTGTGTGTCCTCTCTTCCTATGGCATATACAACGGCTTCATGCTGATGTTGGAATGGTGCACAGAAAATGTGGGGGCCTTGGGCATTCACAGCGTACATTGCTGGAAATAGGTTCCCACGGGGTACAGCTGCTGATCAGGGCCCAGTGGAGATCTCACAGGTGACTCCTACTGGGATGACAATAAGCAAACATCTGCTCAAAGTTGTACCATGGAGAACCATCAGAAGTTGGTAGACCATCACTCCTCCCCTGCTACACCTTGCTCCTCAAGTCACTTGAAAGTTCACATTCCAAAGGCATCAGGAGCATGAGCACAGCATCAAAAAACCGAGGTTCAGAAGCTAATGCCCAAGCCTCCTCCAGTACACAGGGATCCTTTTCAGATCCTTTCAAAAAATTGACCTCCCACCATCCTTTCAGTCCCCACATTTCCTATTTCTGAAGTGTAGGTAATGCCTTGGATTAGCAATTCAATCCTCCTGCAGAATGCAACTGTTTGAACAGTACAGCCATTCTCTTCCAAAGCTCTTCAACCTTCCCATGCATTTGTGTTCTTAGACCACATGCATTTGTGCACGCATTAAATGGATCTCTGTATTAGCTACATTTTCAAACCATTAGCTTGACTGTACCCTTGAATTTCTATGTGCTTTCTAAACAACAGAAACAATACGCCAGGAAATTAAGGTCTTTTTTTTTTTCTTTAAAGCTTCATGGGGCTCACTGTGAAATAGAGGAAAAAGCTTGTCATAAGGAAGGTGAACATTCATGTTTCTTTGAGAACAAATGAAGTAAGTCTAAGATAGGAGTGTTGATATTGTTCATGTGGATGGCTTTATAGGATGTCTGTTTGATGTCTATGGAGTCTCTAATTGTAATGACAAGGGGGAGAGCAAACAGAACAGACAACTGCCATTCCTTCCTATTTAAAAAGCAGAATTATCTGAAAATTGCCACCCAAGTAGCTAGAACACTACTGTAAAAAACCTTTCTTTTTCCAACTTTCAAATAAGTCATTCTTTCCCTTCCAGACAGAGGTGAACACCAGGCCTACAGCAGTCAAAGCAGGCAGTTCTGAGGAACTCCACTGGGAGAGACACACGACAGGGCAAATGTTCTTCCACATTAGAGTTTCAGCTCCACATTCCCCAATGTGCGAAGGAACTTTAGAATCAACAAGTGTCGCTTGTCACCCTCTGGATTTAGCCCACATAGTGTAAGCATGTGAGATGCAACTGCTTCATATAGAGAACACAAAGAAAGTTAACAGAAAACCTTGTCACACGTGACCATGGTTGAGCCATGCTGTGTTGCTCTACAGTACAGCAGGCCCATCATGACTACTGTGACAGTCTCCACGGAGGTTTGCAGTCTGGGTTATAACCTTTATGCTTGCCCTGTGACAGTAAGAACTCCTGAATACGGAAGGAGAATGGAATTCTGTGAGGGTCTTTAAAGCCCATTCCCTTCTGGCAAGTGACACACTGATAGTGTCACACTCATTTTCAAGTATGTGAACCGTTAGAAGGTGACCTGGGGAACTAGTCCAATAAAATTGCTCACAGCAATCATGCAAATGGTTACTAATTATGGAAATTCACTTTCCAAGTCCATCTTGTATTATTTGCAAAATTCAAATACCAATACTGTAGAACGTTCCTATCTAATTTCAAATCAGAATAACTTAATATTTTATAATAAATGTATTGATCTTCAGTCTTAATAATATTTATAAAAATGAACACTCTCATAGATAGGAAAGTGATGGCTCTTGCTTTCCGGAACTAGAACAACTTTGGGTGGAGACTGATGAGTTTGTGTACTCCAGTGGCAGTTAGTTTCAAAAGCAAATGGAGTAAGGGATCTCAGGAGATGCTACTGTTCTGCATGCCACTGTAGGTTGAGTTTCCCTCCCACCATTAACTGTTTAATGAATATGCTGACATATAAGTTAAATATAAATTTTAGAACTTCAAAAGAACACACAAACAATTATTAAAGCAGAAGGTGGGAACAAATGACAAGGACCCAAAGACTGACTTTATTATTCTGTTGGCACCTATCGTAGTGTTCAGAAGAGCTCACTGTTTAAGGAAGCAATGGGAACCAAAGTGGATTTCTGTGAAAACCATAAGAATACTATGAATTGCAATGACAAGCAAATCTTTAAAAGAAATAAAACTGAAGTTTGATTTCAGTCTTCTAAAGCCACTTGGTTCTGTTCAAGAAATGCAAAATTTATCAAGTTTTGGAGCTAAATGGAGCAGTTTCTGCATGGAAAGGAAAGGTAGGTTATGCTGGCCTGAAGAAACATGTACACAAAACAGAAGCATGGATTCAAATCTCACTTTAAGGAGTGTGTGAGCCTGCTTCACCCCTTCCATCTGAATCTTGTACAGTTGTGTGTCTCTCCTTTAGTTTTGGTGAATTACACAATCAGATAGTGTCTCCATTCATGTGAATTTGAAAGAACCCACACCCTGTGTGCGTTTTTATATTTCACAGAGGCCAAAGGAAAGGGTTGCTGCCAGTGGGGTGCTCAAGGCATGCAGAATAAATTCAGTCCTGGGCACTGAAACAGGCCACCCTTGTGCTGTACTAATGGGAGAAAAAAAGCAAACACCATCACCAACTTTGAGATACATCCCAGCAGCCATCACAAAGCACTTCTGTCAGTGCATTTGAAATCTCCACTAAAAATAGGTCCTCTGTACTAGGGCTGAAATTCTCATCCACGGCCAGTGATGGAGCACAGTGCCCCATTGTTTCCAGCTAGGTTCTCCTCTGCTTCAGTACTGTCTTCTAACTTTAAACACAGCCAAAGTAAGTCACCTACCACTAGCCCACTCAAGACTGCAGCCAGTCCATTAGCGCAGTTTGAGGACTTCTGCACAAGTCTTAGCACCTTCTGCTTTCTCTGGCTCCCTGAACCTTAGAATTCATTCCACGGCTACTTGAGGTCTAATATAAACTTAAGGCACTCCCTAGGGACATTCCCTCCTCTACCTACCCACTCTTTATGGTGTCCTACTTCAGCAGGTTCACTGTTCCAGACTTCAGAGCCCCGGGCCTGGGGGTGGGGTGTCTTCATTTGCTCTGGAGGGAAGCTCTTGATATCGGAAGGGAGTCAATCCTAAGACTTTCTCCAGGGACCTGGGGGAACTATAGAAGAGCTCTGCTCTCTCCAAAGATTCTGAGTCTTAAGCACTCAGCTAACATCTTGCTTTGGTGGGAGGTGCCTGTCCCCTGACCAGCTCAGCCTTCTGGCTTGGGGCCTCACGTTTCAGAACTCACCTGGTGCTGAAGACGAGTGCAGGCAGAAGGGGCAGCAGGTAGTGTGCAGCGTTGAATTTCATGTCGCTGTCCTCTGGGGTACTCCTTCACTTCCCGCTACTCTTTTGCCTCCTCTGGTCTGGTTGGTCCTCTCTCCCCAGGAAGCCCTCTCCAGAGACCCACAAACACACTGATAGAGGCTTTGTGAAGGCAAGGACTAGAGAGCGGGTATCTTCAGGAGTGATGTCACCCGCGAGCCCTGCCGGGATGGTCCAGCGCCTTTGCTTAGGGCGCACGGCCCGGGTGTATCCGCGGGTGGAGGAAAGGACCCGAGTCCAGGTCGCTGCTCCGGTAGCCAGTTGCACTTGGTCACTCCCGTGCGCACTGAAGCAGATCTCCTCTTCCCGGCTCCTACTGAAGACAGGAGGGGAGGGCGGTGGCAAGGACCAATCTCGTTCTCCAGTAATTGAGCTGGCGTGCTCCGCAGGGTGAGAGACAATTCGCTGGGAAGGACTCCAGACTCCTCAGGGTCCGGAGCAGACGTCTCTCACCAGCTTGCAAGGTTTTTGCAGAGATGTTGCCTGGAGAGTAAGCTTAAAATACTGCGCTGATTAGATGCGTAATGGTTTGCCTGCTGCGGGCGGAGAGTAGCAGCAGCCAGTGCAGACCAGAAAGCCGGCTCCTACCCGCACAAGGTTAGGAGGTCTCTATCACGGAAAGGGGCCGGGACTAACACAAAGTCCGCGGCTCTAGGTTCTGGTGCGTCCGGGTTTTCTTTTTTCTGGTCTCTGCGCCTGTCAGCTGCTCAAGGGTGTGCAGCTGGTTGCCCAAGTTCATGCACCTTCGAGGATCCTTTTCCTGTGGGTAAACTCCTGAGCAAGACCACAGAGACAATCCTTATTAACTCTATGGTAAGGGGAGGGAGCAGAGGACTCTAGATGCCACTGCGTTTGGTGAAGTTTCTAAATGTTGCATTCCAAGCATCGAGTGTTTAACAAGCTTTATTTAGGAATTTTGTCAGAAAAGGGAAACAGCACAACTTTAAAGCAATCTACCATTTTGAAAAATCAGTTTTAAAAGAAAGGCTGACTTCACCTACAGAGCTTTGAAACTCCAAGGTCTTCACATAATAGGGCGTGTGTGTGTGTGTGTGTGTGTGTGTGTGTGTGTGTGTTTTATAAGAAAGTGAACATAACATTCCTCTCAAGAGCCAGTGCTAAAGTAAGCACTACAATTTTCCTACGAAAATGTGAGGAAAACGGATTGCCAGTGTCTTGACGGGACTTTTGTTTCCTAAGCAAAGAACTAGGTATCTATCCCAAGTCCTAGCTGCTACTGTAAATGTCACAACTTGTCTTTTGTCTGAGCTAAAAGAGTCAGGCACATGCAAGTCTCAGAGGATGGAGGGTGGAGGGGCTTAGTTGATGACCCGTGTTCTCTCCTGGCAAGCTATTAAGAAGGAAATTCCAAAGAATAAACTCAGTATTGAAGATGTATTTGATGATAAAGTAGCACATTTATTACTCTAAAAAGTGTGGAAATACGATGTATTTTCTTCAAATTTACTGTTTTATTCTAGTTTTCTTACTGATGAGGCTAAACTTAAAGGTGCACTGACTGAAGAAATTTATTGTGGGAATCTCAAGTTATTAAAATGTTGTATCAATATTTTCAATGAAAGTCAACTTTTAGGCAGTAGGAACATCTACAATAGTTATAGCTATAGTCAGACACAAAGCAGCTCCCTCCTGAATTGTATTTTAGGAGGAAAAAAGACAACAACAATAGCCCTGTGATAATTTAAAGATCAGCTTTCAATGGGAAAGAGACCTATGGAGTTTTGTTTTGTTCTGCTGTATAACTTCAAATTTGCAGTAATCCTCCTGTTTCAGTCTCTTGAATGTTGCCATGCTTATTTTTAAAGGTGGCTATCTAAGTTGTATATTAACAAGGGTACGCCACTTTGCAATAATAACAAAAATGTGTATAACAAGAATTAACATTCATCTGAAGTATGTCACTCTGCTTATTATACACCAAGTTCACATTCAGTATTTTAATGTCTTCACCCCATGAACCCAGCGTGGTCATTCACACTGTTTGAGTCTTCCACAGGCGTCTGATTAAGAGTGGTCAATCCCTGACACGAGTCACCAGTCATTTCCACAAAGCAGTGGCTGTTCAAATTGTTTTGACATCACTCCATGGCTTATACACTCTTAAGGGTTAATATTTTATGATAACATAATGTAAGTTTCTAACATAAATTTTATTACATGAACAATAATGGGAATTTTTCAAATTATCCACTAAGGAAGTGAATTATACGAGTAATGCTTGGGCTGGGTCTCCATGTGCTGCGGTTTTATTGGACACCTGTAAAAGTCCTTTAATACCAGCATTAGGGAAGCAGAGGCAAGTAGATCTCTGTGAGTATTCTGATGTTTTCAGTTCTGAAAGTAGGCTCATCTAGGTGTGGTGTCCTGGGTCTTTAATTGAAGATCAAGAGACTGAGGTAGGGGGATAAGTATGAGACCAATGTGGGAGACTTAATAGGACTTTGTCTCTGAACAAACTACAAAGGGTTAAGGGTGAAGCTCAGTTGTAGCACGCTGATCTGGCTTTTGTGAGGCCTGGGTTTCATTCCACTCTGTGTAATTTATCTCTACTCCTTTTAGCGTCAACTTTTATAGGTTTATGGGAGTGGCCAAGGTCATTCATGGTACATGGCCATCAGTGGTCCAACATTCATTTGTTGAAAATTTCATTGTTACTATCAGTGATCCAACATTCAGTTGTTGAAAGTTTCATTGTTACTATCAGAGATCCAACATTCATTTGTTGAAAGTTTCATTGTTACTATCAGTGATCCCACATTCATTTGTTGAAAGGGTTACCCTGTTTCCAGTTTCATTGTTGTGTTACTTCTTCTCTCTCACAACTTTATTTTTCTTACATTTTGGATGGATTGGATGTTATGCTGCCATATCATAAACTACAATAACCTCTAACATTTCAGTTTTGACCTCCTGATTTAAATTCTATAGTTTTACTCCTGAGTTGGACTTGCTACTTTTTATGAATTTTATTCTGCACAGGATGGCTACGGATCTGAACTTTATCTTCATCACAGAGTTCTTCACTGACCCCGTACACATATTTCCTGGCATTCTGTGAGACAAATTCAATCACGTGAAAACATTTTATGAACCTTCCTCTATCACTGAATATTTTCTAATATTTCTTTAACTAAGCCTCCCAAGTTCTAAACCTGAGATTCAAGACTTCCTTCGGCCCCTGTCTCTCGGGTAATTGATCACCTAATTGTGCAGGTTATACATATTAATTCATGCTACTCATCTAGTCAGTAGAGCTCTGCCCCTGGGTTCTCCATCTCTAGTTTTACAAATAAGCCTCTGGCCTTCAAGGGGATTTGCTCAAGTGTATTACTCTGGCCAAAGCTCACTTAGCTGAAGACATCTGAGTAGTTATGGGGCCTCTCAAACCCTGTCCTCAAATATTGGATTCCATGTCTGTAACTTTTCTCTTCATTTTTGGTTCCTTGTTGTTTCATTTTAAGGAATGTTTCCCCTGATAGATCTGTAGAAGTTTTCCTGATAAACCGCTTTCATTTCTCTGTCTCTGTCTCTCTATCTCCCCTCTTCTCTCTCCTTCCTCTCTATACCCGAGGAGCAAAGAGAATCACCAAAGAGCAAAGACAATCATGTCTTATCAAGACCACAGTTTTTTGTTTAGAATCTGCCTCTAACCCACTGACTGATGATGACATGTCCCTCCAAGTTCTATATCATGTAGTATTTTGACTTGATATTGTATTTACACCACATTTTCCTGTTCCTCACCAAACAACAATGTATTAAAAATAGACAAAAAAAATTCTTAATTATTCTAAGCATTAAGAAAAGTGATGGTATTATAGAAACCTATAATTTGGTACATTTCTGTAAGTCAGTTATTCATTTTCTATAGTTGAATATGTAAATCTTGGAAAGGAGAGCTTAAAAAATAAAAATTTATTTCTTTGTTTTCCTGAAAACTTGATTTTGGCTTCACTTTTTTTTTATTACTTCTAATTAAGACTGACAAGAAAGTGTCAAAGGAGATGAAATATCTATTTGGAAAAAAAGATGTCCAAATTGTCCTGAAAGCATGAGGAAACATGGAATTCCAACAAACTGCTGCTATTTCTATGCAAAACCAAAATAATACACATATAAATAAAATAGAAACTTTTGAAGCCTGCCAAATGCAGTGTCTTCAAATGAGTCTCTGATGACTTTACTCTGTTGAATCTCATCCTCTTTAGTCTTTGCAGTCCATATGAATGATGCAGGAGCTCTTGAGTGACAGTTCTGTGCATGGAGACCTCTGCTGACCCTTGTCCGGGGCCCTGGGTCCTTCCTTTGCTAGCAGCACTATGGGCATTTTTGTGTGTGTGTGTGTGTGTGATGAAGTTTATGCACTTGAAAACACACACAAACAAAATTATGTCTTTAACTAGTTTTTAGACGGTGGCAGCTAAAGAGGGGATCTTAATATGTAGACCCAAACTCCAGCTCCTGGCAATCCTCCTGTTCAGCCTTTAGAGTGTTAAATTTACAAGGATGGACCATATATCTGTTTCAAATTTATGATGTTGTGTTTAAAATACTGGAAAGCCTTTGCCCAAATGCAAGGCTTGCACTGTAAATTTAAATCTGCTTTGGGTCAAAACTCTTACAGAGAATCGTTCAGGGCACATCACTCCCAATGAGAACTTCTTTGGGAAATCTTTTGATAAGCATAGAAATGCCTTACTACATAAATATTCTTTTGCTACAAGACTTTTTTTGACCTCTTTAGTAGTTAATTTTGAGTACTATAACATTTTTTTTTTTCGAGACAGGGTTTCTCTATGGCTTTGGAGCCTGTCCTGGAACTAGCTCTGTAGACCAGGCTGGTCTCGAACTCACAGAGATCCGCCTGCCTCTGCCTCCCGAGTGCTGGGATTAAAGGCATGCGCCACCATCGCCCGGCTACTATAACATTTTTTAAACATTTTGAATAAGAAATTTGTTCTATCCATTTTTTGAATAATTAAGTTATGCCTACATTTATGAGTCAATAATATCTCTTGTTTCATAAGGATAGTTCTGTGTTTTCTTTTCTACATATCTATTTTTCAATCTTAGTGATTAAAGTTACAATTCTCCCTGTTCCCATTCTGTGATGAATAAAACACACACACACACACACACACACACACGAACACACACCAGCCGTGTGGTGGTGGCACACAACTTTAATCTCAGCAGGATGTCTATGAGTTTGAGGTCATCCTTGTCCACAAAGTGAGTTCCAGGACAGCCAGGATGGTTACACAAAGAAACTCTGTCTTGAGAAGCCAAACCAAACCAAACCAAACAAACAAAAACAACAAAATAAAACAAAAAAAAAATAAATAAGCAAACGAAAAAAATCCATTAAAGCTTAGCCCTACTTGTTAGCTGTACCTGACACTGGTCACGTGATTTGTCAAAGACAGCCTCTTAACTATACTCTTATTTAATTTGAATGAAAATTAATGATAATATTATGCTTCTAAGCATGAAGGAATAATTAATAACAGATTTTTCTCAACTTATGGACAAAATGA